GTGGCCGGGCGCACTGCCCCCACGTTAGCTCCTGCGGCTGGCCGGACGTTATTTGACTTGCTGGGATCCTCGGGATCCTTTTCGGCTCGTCGCGTTCCCCTCGCACCATCCTGGGGCTCGGGCGCCGCTAAATCCTCTGGCGGAGATGGCCGCTGCTTCCTTCCGCTGGCTGGAAGCGCTTTCCGGCTCCTCTCCGCCTGTCTCCGGCCCGCGGGATTCTTCCGTGGTTGTCTTTCCTCCGGTGGTTTCTTCGCGGCGAGGTTTTCGTGAGGGTTATATATGGAATAAATTCGCCGGGGATTAGAAAAAAAGTAACTTAACGCTAATTTACGTTTCCCTGGAGATTTCGCTCGCTTGCGCGTCCCGGCTCGGGTCAGACGCGAATCCGCGCTTTGTGACGGCAAAGGGTCGCTGCGAAGCTGCAGCGAAACTGCATCACAGTATATATGTTTTATAATTGTATACATGTGTGTGTTTATATACACATTTATACAATATATATATATGTATTATATGTATGTACATATATGTATTTTATGTATGTTTATACATGCATACAATTCATATTATTTTATTATTATATTTTACAGGAACCTCGTTATACGACGAAAACGCTTTGTGTACCGTCGTAATTGATCAGACGATTATAATTTTTTACGAGGATGTCTTACAAGGCATTTTAATCACTATTCTATCGTATTTATATTCGGGATTTGCTACCCGAAGAACCTAGCAAAAACGTTAGAATTAATCCAAAGGTATTTGAAATTATTTATTACGAGTTATGCATATTTCATAATGGATGTCCGCGTACATATTTATTTTAATACTATAACTTCTTTCAGAGTATTTTTGAATATAAATCCATTTGGCAATAAACACTCTTCAAAAAGTAAACGGAAGGGGAGAACATTTGATACTGACGTATTCACTTTGGCAAAAGCTGCACTGACAGTTCTTCCTGAAAATGTACTTTCAAATGTAGAAGTTCCTGAGTAGATTAATTTTTAGTACTTTTTATTAATTAATTTTTAGTACTTTTTTTACTTGTTTTTTTTTATTTTTTCAACTATTGTTCCAATGAAGAGTTTATACGTTTTATTTTTATTTGAGATTGTTTGAATATTAAAAATATATAAAGGTTTGTTTTCTCAATGAAATATACAGAATGTATATTTATATCTTAAATGGCGCCCATTAATCATATGGTGCTATTCCCGATAAAAAAAACTGAATCGGAAAATCCTCTACCATTTTGCAATTTTCACAGTTAACAAGATATTAATTATTAAAAATTGCAAAAAAATAATGATTTTGAATAATTTTTTACTCAAATACTATCAACTTTACAGAAAAACTGCAAGAGACAAAAATAATTTATTTTCTTCTCATAAAGTTCTGAGAATTTTTTCAGAATTTTTTCAGAATTTTTTAATACCGTATATTTTCTCACGTTGGTAAAAATGAGAAAATGCAGTATTAAAAAGTTGATAACAAATTCTGAAAAAATTCTCAGAACTTTATGAGAAGAAAATAAATTATTTTTGTCTCTTGTAGTTTTTCTGTAAAGTTGATAGTATTTGAGTAAAAATTTATTCAAAATTTTGCCATTTTTAGTAATTAATATCTTGTTAACTATTGCGAAAATTGCAAAATAGTACAGGACTTTTCGACTTAGTTTAGTCCGCTCTATCTACACAAAAGTGATTGGCAAAAAAGGTTGGGACACCCTGTATAATTAGTGGGCGCTATTTAAGATACAATGTATGTGTGTGTGTATAAGTAATAATTTTTTTTATAACGAAAGTGCTTTAATATATTTGTTAATAATTGCCTTTCAAAGTTCCTTATCAATATTATTTTTTAATTCAAATTTTGTTTCATTTAAAGTTATGAGAGCTCAGTGTTCGTCATAAAATTGAATTATGACGTAATATTACATGAAAAAACGAACTTTTTTTTAAGAAAGGATTTTTAAGTTGACTTGTAAATGTATTTTCTGAAACAATTAACTAAAATAAAATTTTTTTTATAAAAATAATCACTTTTATAATTTATTCGATGTGTGAAACTATAATAAGGGCGTTATTCATAATCCATTCATATTTTAAGACCATCTTAAGTAATATCTTCAGTTGCTAATCTGGGTTTCTGATTGATTCATGACGTTTTGAATATCTTAAATATAAGAGCTGATTACCGGCCTAATTTCTTAAAAAATATGAAAAAACATGAGAATATCAAAAGTAATGAACGTCTGCATCGCATTTAATGAATGTGAATATTAAATATAATGAAAATTTTAAACTTTTCAATAACATATATAACGAAAGCCAATATATCAAGCAGGTAAATGGAAATTCAATTACGTGTTTTTTAAATATTATTAACACGTTAATTAATTTCCATTAAACTGTCCATTAAATTTAATGCCCACGTTTCATTAAATTTTCAGAAACTGGAACATAGATTTCATTTATACGATTCATTACTTTTTAGGTACACGTTTCTTACATTTCATTAGCATGTTAATTAATTTCCATTAAAGCTGTTAATTTAATTTAATGTCAACGTTTATTACATTTACGAAACTAGTAACTTAAATTTCATTTACACAACTCATTATTTTTTAGTTTCACGTTTCTTACATGTCATTAATGTGAAATTACTTTTCAGTTACAGATCTCGTACATTTCATTAACGTGTAAATTAATTTCTATAATACTGTGTTCATTAATTTCAATATACACGTTCATTACATTTAAGACTACTGTAATTTAGTTTTTATTTACATCATTCATTACTTTTAATTTCGTGCATAACCACATGCTTCCTTTACATGTTAATTAAAATTCATTAAGAAATTTCTAGTGTATATGAGAATTTCAGTGTATATGAGAGGACCTTGCGCTCGAAAGATTCCGCCTCAGCATTTTTATCACTCGCAGCGCTTCAATGAAATGCAATTAAACGTATATCTATCGAACAGCTATTGAACTGATATTGAACAGCTATTGAACTGCTATTGAACAGCTATCGATTAGCTATCGAACCGATATTGTACAGCTATCAAATCGATATTGAATGGCTATCGAACCAATATTGTACAGCTATAAACAGCTATCGAATCGATATTAAACAGCTATCGAATCGATATTAAACAGCTGCAAACAGCTTTCAAACAATTATTGTGCCGCAATCAGACCGCTATCGGTCCATTTTCAATTTTATGCGCTATATTTATTTAAATATCTATAGCTGCACACAGTTATTGAACCGCAATCAGATCGCTATCGGTCCATTTTCAACTATATGCGCTATATTTATTTAAATATCTACTCGTACGGGTAACAAAAAAATAAAACGTATTAATGTGATACATTTATTTAAAAAAAAGTCTCACAATTCTCTCTCTTTCTGACGTCGAGACCACCAGTTGAATATCTTAAATACATTTTGCAAAGAACAATTGTTAGCGTGTCGTCCACATCGTATAGTATTACAGTCATCTAGATTACGTAGCGATTCCACATCTTCGTAATGCGCATC